TTTAGTATTTTTAGCTGCTATCTATAATGAGTGTGTATATTTCGGATATATCGTATAAATTTATTATAATGACTTACATGAATTTATTATACGACAGATCACAACACATTTTGGTCTATATTTAGATGCGATCTAAAATAGTGAATGTTAGTAATTTAATCGAATAATTCGGTCGAATAGCGAGATGGAAATCACGAAGAACTATTCAGAGCTCAATCTTCCGTTTGTAATCCTTTTGAAATAAAATTTTTCATGGTGCTTGAGCGCGCAAGATCGTCGGATAGTCAAGGACATTCTCGATTGCATCGTTTCTTCTGCGTTATATGGATGCTCGAAAGTTGCCGCTATTTTAAATTGAATTAATGATTATAGATAATAAGACTCCCATCCTCTCTTCCTCCCGAGTGGCAATTGGGATCTGACACGAGCATAACTGTCACGTCCACACATGCATGCATGTACATACGTACATACAGACTTATTCAATACACACGGCGAGAAAGAAAGAAAGGAGAATGACGAAGGTAGTGTGTGAGAACAACGAACGATCGATATATAGTGGTAGTATATCTCGTGTGACGCGTCCTTTGTTGTGAAATAACACCGATGACAAGCACGAAGGCAAATTGACATAAGTGTAAAATACGATCGATTTTTACCTTCAACGCCCACGAATGTAAAGCCACGTTCCTCGACAATATTCCGATGCTTATATAAAGCAAAAATAACTCTCTCCCGTAATATTATATATATCGCGATATTCAAATATTATTTTGCACAAGAATATTACTTTTTTAATTAAAATATAAAATCTCGAAAACGAATGTGCAATTGCGAAATTAAATTCGTCAGTATTTTTTTGAAATCAAAGAAATTGTTTAAAATGGAAGAAATAAAAAAGCGCATTGCTATTACGAATAGTAAGATCATTCGAAGTGATTCTCGACAAAAGGGCACTAGTGTATAGCGAGAAATAACACGGCAAATAATTGACTTTGCAGTCACGTAAGCTCTAATTTTCGGGGAAAACACGCGAAAAGATGGTGAAAGCGGCGAAGAAAGGCCATAAATGTTCCGGGAGTTCGCCACGAAACGATCAATCAATGCCTCGGCATGTTTAAACACACTTTAAATTACTCCGACCTTCGATCACGCTTACATCGCACCTTCCAAAAATCACGAATTTTTCAACCTAGAAATTTATTCGATGAATTCCATCAAGCGATACCGTTTTATCTTCGAGACAATTACTTATTTCCTCAATTTCATCTATAATATTCGCGCTCGAGAAACGTACGAAACATTCTACATATATACGTATTACATATTATTCAAAGGGAGGGGAGATCTTGTTCACAAAGCCGGGATTGGAATATTAGACACGCCGAATTGAATACGTGACAGAGTCGTGTCTACGCTAAAGCGAGCTTTCACCTACCCCTTCGTTCTTGCCGCGCATGAGTAATTAGTACACATTGACACATATACATTGATCTGCGCAAATGTTACGCACGCAGATATTAATCCTTATTGCGGTTTTAGTTTCCAATCAATAAAGATTATTCATTATTTAAAAAGATAGAATCTATTTTGTCATTTAACGTATAAATATTAATTACATTCATTTAAATTAAGCATCATAGCAAAAGTTTTTAGTTAATAAGCAATCTAACAATAAGACGACAAAGCTTTCGCGAGACGAAAGAATCTCTTTCAGAAATAGCGATTGTTCGAATAATTGAGTGAAAACGACTTAATAAAAGTGTATTATTATTTATCGGGAAAATTATGATACAAAGTATAAATACAATATAATTGATGTGAAAAGCATAAGCGTAAGCATAATCGCGAGATTGATTGCAGAAAAAAAAATACATTATGAGAAAAACGGCACGAGAGACAGAACAATATCAATATTTCGTATCGTATTTAATCGATCAACATTGACCACTATATTAGATTTTCAAAAACGTGCACTCTCGCGACAATTCGCTCTACTGAAAATTTTAATAAAAAAAAATTTTTTCCGGATAAAAAAAATTTAATTTTTCTAGAAAAAGTTAATTAGACTTATATATATATATAACGCGCGCTACTATTATTAAAATTTTTCTAAAAGTAATTTATATGTAATTAAATTTGATTTTAAATTGAAAATAGTATAGATTGCCTCGGAGCAAATCGGGGTTAATGAAAGAATTGAGTTGATTCGTGGACGCGATAATTCACGAAGAGATTTCGGTAATCTGGCGGCCTAATGGTAGATCAGCGACGTCGGTGCCATGTACGTATATGTACTTCCAGGGATAGGGAATGGGTGATGCGCCGCATGTGATAACGTTATTGATAACGAAGCGCAATAGTAACCTGTTACTTTATATCCTCCAATCGCGAAAGCTCGATCGAATACCACCGTCAATCTGGCATCCCTATCACCGAGAAATCAAATTGGCATATTTATAGCGCGTAATTGTGCCCTAATTTATTTCCAATTTACCCTATCCATTTATCTCTTAAACAAGTTATAAAATTAAATATGCAGAATTTTCATCATATTTAACTTTTGAATTTGCATTGCTGCAAATTCAAATCTTTATATACTGATATGTGTGATATAATATTCGCAAATCTAGAGATTAAGATATAAAAATTTAATTGATATATGATGCATCACGATAAATATTGTATTATAAAGCACACACAACGTTGATTTATAAAATATAAATATATCCAAATTAGTTATATAAAACAATGTCCAAAGTAATTAATATTTGAGAAAATAATTACTGCGCACAATCAAATTTTCATTTGTTTAAATGAATATCTAACAAAAAGAATTAAAACAGAATTCTCAATAACATTTATTTTAGATATAAACTTACATAAGGTTGATAAATATAGAAATTTAATTTTTATTCAAGAAACATGTAGAATTATGAATCTTAAGCAATGGTATCAAAAAAAAATATATATATATATATTTTTTAGATATATTTATATATAAAACTATTAATTGCAAATATTTTTTATTAAATATTTAAAATATACAATTCAAAATAAGATGTAGAATATTTTATATATACTTCTCATATTACAACAACGATGTAAAGTGAGTTACTACCACGAAAATAAACGAGCAATATTAATTTTATAAATAATAAAATTATTTATTACTCAACTCCATGGTTGCTCTGTCGTCGCCTGATGCCTTCCTGAGTCTTCTTTTCTCTTGTATTTGTTCTTTTCTGTCTCTTTGTAGCACTCACTTATTTACAACACTCACTCGTGAAAATATAGTCGAATTATAATTGTACGCACACTAATCTTCTAGAATGCGATGATCGTCCAATACTTTACGTAGCACTTTCGATATATTAATCGAACATGATGCGCACTTTATTTTATATTGCGATGTCAAAACATGAAAATTACAATAATTACATGAAACTGCGATTCGCTTAGCACTTGGCATTAGAAAATGTAGCCAAGTTCAATGCTATCTATGTTGTCAACGCATTTATTTTACAACATATCTTTATCTTTCATTATACTACAAGTGATGTATAAGTAGATATACATAAGTTAAAATGAAGAATAGATATTCGGAGAATGTAATATATAAAAAACTATCATCACTTTATCGACTCACGCAAATGATTTCGATCAAAATACGTGTTTCGATAGATTGTTGTTCATTAAATTGTTGCGTCGTTTATTGATTAACGCTCGAGTCAAATCATTTTGTACTCAGTTAGTGACTGAAAAATTGAGAATTTGACATTGAATTTTGCCTCGATACTGCGCATTATCACGCGATATAATGTGAGTTAATAGCTCTTTGAAACGCGATAATCATGAATTAATTAGTCGTGCGGGTTGATAATAATTGTTAGAATCGCAAGCAGCGATCACATTTGGCATATCTCGGTACTTTTTGCAAAAGTATTCCAACGAGATAATACACGGAGCCTCTTACTATGCTGTCTGCACGAGGCTCGCGGCGACTTCTGCGTCGTAAATAATAGCGCGCTATTCAATTCAAGGTCGCTTACCATAAGAATTTATTCGTTATTATTACAAAATACGTACATATGTATTGTATACTGACGTATTACAAACTAAAATATTTGTGTATTTGGTAAATTCTTAGAGGTACTATACATTTTCCGAATATCTACAAATCTTTCATTTTAACTTATATCTTATATTCACTTGTATTGCAATAAAAGATAAAAAATGCGTGCGTATATTATTAGTTGATAACATAGATAACAATGTTTGGAATTCAACCCCTCAATTTTCCAGTGCCAAGCGAATCGCAGTTTTATATAATTCCTTTCGTCGCAATATAAAGAATACATTGTGTGTGCGATTAATATATCGAAAGTGCTATGTTAGGTACTGAATAATTATCGTATTCTAATCATTAGTACGCGCTTGATCAAATTAATCGTATTTTCACGAGTGAGTATCGCGAATAATGCTACAAAGTGAGTGCTATAAAGAAGTAGCAAAGAATGAATGAGAGGAAAAAATTCAGGCAGGCATCGAGCAAAGGCGGCATAATTAGGGATGAGTAATATATAATTTTATCAATTTATCATTTATAAAATTATAATTGTACGCGGTAGTAATTCATTTTACATCATTGTGTAATACGATATATGTAAAATATTTTAGATTTAATTTTTTGAAATATGTATTTTTAAAATATTTAATAAAACATTTATAATTATACATATATAATATTTCAACATAACATTATTTAAGATTTACAAATTTTTTAAATTACTTATAATAAAATTAAATTTCTAAAATCATATGTTATGTAAGAATTTATATATAAAATAAATTTTTTCGAAAATCTTATATTGTAATAACTTTTATCAGATATTCATTTAAAGAAACAATTAAAAACGTAATTGTGCGTAATTATTTTTCCAACTATTAATTACTTTAGACATTACTTTATATAACTTGGACATATTTGTATTTTACAGATCAATGTTGTGTTCTACAGCTTCGCTGTTGCACATCATACTGGTGAGTATTATTTTTTATCTTAATTTCAATAATTTCTTAATATTACCTCGTAGATATCGATATGTTTGAAAAATTTGTATTTGTAATAATGTCTCAGTTTAATATATGTAAGTATTTTCTGCATTATTTATTTTTATAAATTGCTTAAATTAATTATAAAAAATGGGTAATCGACAAAAATAGAATACATACAAGCTGCATTGCATTTGAATAAAGAATGAGATATTATAACAATTCGCAATATGCAAATAACATCAAAAATATAAAAGCTTCTGAAATAATACAAATGCTTCTCTCTCAGCTGAATGAATTTATTTGAATGAAAGTTTAGCTTGAAAAAATTTTAATTTAAATAAATTTAAAGCTCAATCTCTTAATCATTATTTAAAAATAATATTTACTTATCTCAACTATTTTAATTATTGAATATAAGTATGCTGCCTTCTAAGCCGGGCAATAGAGCCAAGGAAACGAAACGAAAAATTAATTAAACGGAACTGTATCTCAATTTGAGATCCCAAAGTTCCACATATAAATTAATTTCGAAACTTACATATGGAGAAATAAGCGAGAAAAATATAGGTCCGAAAAGTCGCTGAAGCGGGAATCGAACCCGCGTCTTTCACTTTCCGGGCGACTGCTCTTACCAACTAAGCTATTCAGACCCTTTCGATCCCATATTTTTCATTTGCCTTTTAAGTAGATGTTAGTAAATACCGCCGTGATTAGCCCAGGCGTGAATAAACTCAGAAATAAATATTTTTATCGGCTCTCAATATAAAGAATATAAGTATGCTGCCTTCTAAGCCGGGCAATAGAGCCAAGGACTTTTCGGACCTATATTTTTCTCGCTTATTTCTCCATATGTAAGTTTCGAAATTAATTTATATGTGGAACTTTGGGATCTCAAATTGAGATACAGTTCCGTTTAATTAATTTTTCGTTTCGTTTCCTTGGCTCTATTGCCCGGCTTAGAAGGCAGCATACTTATATTCTTTATATTGAGAGCCGATAAAAATATTTATTTCTGATTCTATTTTAATTATTATTTAAAATTTGAAATTATAAAGTAGTTTTAAATTATATAATTTAAATATCTCAATATTTCATTAAAATTCTTATGAAAATATTCTTTATATGTTCCGTCTGCATAAATTGTAAACAGAAAATTAACAAACTGGTTGTTTAGTTTAAATTCATGTTTCAAAGAGAGACTCATCTTAAGGAATAATCTCTCGTGATCTTTGCACATGCGAGTGCATTACAAATACGAATCCTCAGCATGCATTTAAGGATTTAGACTAGCTTGTCCTAGTATCACGAAAAAGCTCTCTTACATCGGTCGTCTACTTTCGTAAAGAACTATATCATGAAAATTACATTGATGATCAAGTTCTCTCTTTAGCTAGCTTTTTCGATATATACATATATAACTGACGCAAATTGTGTAGACCTGTATACATGCTCAATTAAAAATTTAGTTCGTCTAATTTGGCTCAACGAGAAAAGTCTAAGTCGTTCCTTTTATTAACTTGATTCTTCTTAAGCAGGTTATCATTGAAAATGGAAAAAATGGAAAAGACAATTAAAATGCGCGAATAGATTCTAAGAGGCTTTCTTAAGAATCTCGCAAGAAAAAGTGAGCTCTCGTCGAGCAATGAGAAGATGAATTTGAATTCAGCGCGAGAAGAGAGGGTAGTCTCCGACGACTAGTCATTTATTCGTGTTTATATCAAAGTTTTGTCGCGTCTCTTGATCGAGATACAATCCGCATGCATCTGGATAGATTCTAAAGTCGGTCATTCTCGAGAGTGCGCCGCTGCTGCGCCGTACAGGATTTCGAAGAATCTATATTAGAGACGCAAGGAAACGCCTTGCTCGATAAACCGCACCCACATGAGCAAGCTACTCGATATCAGTACACAGGGTGTTTTGAGAAAAAAAAAATATCTTACCGCGTTAGATTTTGAGAATAAAGAATAGTCACATCAAAGTTTGTTTTTGATCGGAAACGAGCTCTTAGTATTCTAAGGAAATCCTAGTATTCCAGAAATAAATGAAAATATTGAATATTGCATCGAATGCACATAAATTATATTATCATTTGCGAGCTTCGTATAGATTGTAAATTAGATTCCGCTATGTAATAGCAATATTGAAGCGCTCGATATTCATTGGAAATCGCACCTGCGTTGATACAATATTTATCATTTGAAAAATTAATTTTCGCATCCATTAATAAAATATTTTTTACTTGTTAGTTATTTGTTTTAGTCTATATAGGTATTAAATAGCTATATAATTCACAAATTAATTTTTATTCGGAAAAAGAATCCAAAAGTTTTTAATTTCAATATACATTGAGATTTGCTTATTTTTTTCTGAAATAATAAATTTCTAATTTTTCTATCAACTTTTGTTTTAAATAAAATTAAATAAAATTGATTAAGAACATATTTTTAAATGATATTATTTCTATATAATAAATTAGATAAATTTGAATTTTCTTTTTAAAACAATATTAAAAATGTTATTGTCAATGAAAAAATTTTGAAAAATTAAAATTTTATTTTGACTTTATTTGACAAATCTTTTGTATATTCTAACATTTCCTTCCAAGACACCCAATGTATAACCGCGGTAAAAACGTGAGAAATAAGAAGAGAGGACAGAAAAAGGAAATACCTGCGTCGCGGATACGGGCGAATTGGTTTTACGAAACCGACGCGAAAGAGATGAACTGCTATCACCGTGGGCAATCCATGTACACTATATGTGAACTGCAATCTTTATACGACGTTGCTTCCAGAAAATGCATCTTGCCACATTCGAGGATTATATCGTATGTTCTAGATCTGTCTCTTGTGAGTCGAGTATTCTTTGGGGAATGCGAAGCCAACGTATTTCCTTGATAATTCGTGAAACGCGTAATTGCAGATTTATGTCTGATGTAACGCGCAGCAAAAATTTCCAAGAAATATATCACACACATTCGTATTATGAAACTATTAATAAATAATAATCTCAAGCAAACTTCCATTTAAGCGGACTCAATTAAGAGCCTTTATATAAATTGCTAAGAATATCTTACGAATCGAAAGTTAAAATATGATGACAAAGGAAATTTTGTTTAATAATAAAAAAAACTTTAAAAAATTTTACTTGAGTAAAGAATCGAAAGAATCTCTCTGTACATGAGAAAACTTCTAAATTAAAGAAATCTTACGAAAAGACTCTAAAGTTTAAAAAAAACTTTCTCCTGATTTATTTTCCCAATGAAGTTAACTATCGAGCTTTTCTTGGAACACGTTATTTCTTTTATACTTGTAACGTTACTCTACCGACTATGTTCCTGTTTCGACGTTCCTGGCCACAGCAAGCGCATCGACTACAAAGATAATGTTACGGTATCGTTGCTCAGTTCAAACAAAAGTACGGAATCCCTCACGTTCCCCCGAGACTACTTCCATCGGGTTTAATTGACATTCGAGATCATATTCCATTATATGACGACTGACATCGCGAGAGAGTTATGAGATTGTATAAATATGACAGAACCTCGAAAGCAATCTGCACGATTCTCCATATGTCAGGGAAATACGTGAACATTTCGTTGATATAATATTTCTGCACGTCGCGTTTTGCTACCTTGAGACTTCGTATCACTACAAGGGAGGGAAAGGGATTCTCCATATTGAGAAAGTTAGGTAGAATAGTATCTGATTAAACAAACGAGAAGCTATTTCAAAGTTTCGCAGATATATACATGTATCTAGAGAAGATCGCAGCAAGACGTTATACATGCGAAACATAGATGAGTAATTCCTAATTTGTCCAAGTTTTCCTCATAAATTAAATATTAATAACTTATTACATTAATGAATAATTCTTCAAGATTACAAATAACTAGTAATAATTGAATTTATAATATAATTGGCATTTATAAATTTTAAATTTTTAAATGCTAATTTTAAATTTTAATTAGAAAATATTAGAGATTAACTAGAAAAAATAATATCAAAATTGCTGTTAATCTGTATTACATTTTCAAATGACTAATCATTGAAGCGTGAGGAAAATTGAACGAACTTTACAATATGATCAGTCTGGAGTGTCAGTAAGTGTCGACGGAATAGCAAATACGCGGAATTTTATGGCAAGACTTTCAGTACTCCAAAGAATGCGAATAGAGCTAGGTACCAGACGAGTGATATAACTGTCGAGTCAAGCAGGCGCGACCGCAAAGAGTCAGGAAGAAGAACGCAATTTCAAAAGAGCACCATCGCGCTAGATGTGTGAGAGAGAGAGAGAGAAGGAAATATCGTATCGTCCGGAAAGAATCTTTTGTCGATGTTTCAATTTTGAGAAAACCAGGTTCTCTTCATTTTATCAAACTTCGACGATATTGTAAAAAATTAAATTTGATCAAAATATCGCAAGTGCATTTTCAATCACCATTTTCTTTATTAAAATTACATTTCCTTCAGCTGCAATTCTTTTAGTTGGAATCATTTTATTTTACTATTATTATTATTAATAATTTTATCAGTAAGGTTTCAAAATATATTACAACTTCAATTGCATATATATTAATATTTTTCATTCAATATATCTTGCTTTTCTATCGCGCATATATATGAATGTGATTTTTCTCATAAAATCTCGAAGCCACAAATAATTTCTTTTGAAAAAATTTTGCAACAGTAATGCTCTTAATTCAAAAAAAAATTTGCTACACATAAAATTTAGTTATCATGTCTAAATTTTAGTTATGATAGATAATATTTTTAGCTCTAGAATTCTCCGTTAAACCATACCTAAAAAAATATTATTATATAGCTAAAATTTAAGCATGTAATAATTAAATTTCTTAATCTTTCTAACAGCTAAAATTGAGCTATGGTGGCTAATTTTTTCCCTGTTCGTATCATTAACTTATCCGCAATATTGACACTGATCAATGCCTCGAAACTTGCGACACATTTCTCACTAAATGACCGAGATTCGTTTAGTCGAGCGAATAGAACAAGCGACGTGCTTAAAGGACGGGTAAAAGTTATAAAGACTCAATGATCGATACGCGATTTTCCATTTAGGCTTCA